CCAATTTTCAGTTTAAGAAAAAACCAGCCGATAAGTTTTGAAGCTTGAGTCATGAACAATAAAACTTATCGGTTAAAATTTTTAAAACGATATAATTTTTTTTGATTTAGTATTTTGAAGTTGACCAATTGTTACTATAAGCAATTAATGATTGTAGATGATCTGCACCGTACCTCTATTCCATACATGTTTTTTACGATAAGGACAAGCAAAAACGAAACTCGAAAAGGTAATAAGGGTGAATAACCTGTTGTTTCCTATCAAAACTGTTATTAGAAAATACTGGTTATGGAACTTTAGAATCTCCGCAATTCCGGATCGTCATTGCGATTAACCAACTTTATTTTTTCAGGAGCGATCTCGAACCAAAAGAGATTCATTCAAGCATATATGACTCAAATGCTCTGCGTATTGGCGTTAATTGTGTATGGTAATACTTTCTATGGAGTAAGAATCATAATAGGTTTGAAGATCTCAGTTATAGATCCCATTGTTAAAGGTATGACCACTCTAGCAAATTTCGGGTTGAGTGAAGTGATATAAATAAGCGGGTTTGAAAAGACTTTATTTCCCACGTTTCCACAAATTTTTTAAGGTATATGTTATAAGTCTACCACTTCGCTCCTGCCCATTGGTTATACTTACTATGTGTCCTTATATTTAGGAAAAGCGAGATGTCAAATAAAACCAAGATTGATAAATTTCTCAGTGGTGGTCCTATTATTCTCAACTGCTTTATTCCTGGTGAAGGAGTGAAGGATATCTTCGAAATAAAAATATCTACTTCTAATAACAATCAAGTTTCTTCTCTCGGAACTGTAATCAGAAATGCTCGTCTAGATAAATTTCAAGATGTCGATCCAAGCAAAATTGTGTTGCGTAGAGTTGAGTTCGAAACTGATAGTGTTATAATCATCAATTTAAAAAATAAAAATAAGGCTGAATTTGGTGTAAAGATGGAATTGCAAGACAAAATTTTTAGTCATTTCCCTACTCAACCCAAACCCATTTATCCTGGTGAAAAAGGAATCAATGTTATCGTGTATCCTCCTACCGAAGCATAGAAATAGTTAGATTTTTTTTCTATATGTATTGCATCATGTAAATGCGATGTGTATTCGCAATTTTGTTTTTATATCAGTTATCGCCCTCGAGGCAAATAAAGCAATGAATTAAGTATTACATCATCGTTAGTTGTTAATTGGGACAAATCGTTGTGCGCATCGTATTCATCTTCACATGTTTTCGTGTGACCTAATTTCTCACATAAAGCCCCATTGGTATTTTTTGATGTGTCTGTGACACTAGCTTCGTATACACAATTTCGGACGTAATGCCAATTCGAGTTGGGAAAAATAGCCGGCTCTTGGCAAATTTTTCTTATATCCGATCCCTTCCAAATGCCATAAAACTGTTACATATGAGACCTCTATTCCTTTATTTAACATTTTATTAGCCAAAGACCTCAAAGAAATAGAAGAATCTATTGTCCGATTGCACGCGATTCTTCCGCAGTATTTTTTTTTTTCTACCATTACCCCCTTTATGTTCCACGTTAACATTTTTTTTCAACTAAAATAAATAGTTGAGAGTGGGGTGTTCGTAATATTATGTAATTGACGAGCAGAACATATCCCCTAATTCCAATAATATGGTTGGCTCGGTCTAAAGACCTCCTATTGCTGCGCCACGTGCTCAAATTTCAAAAATTGCAATTTCAAAAATTCAATAAAATTTTTTAAAAAAAGGGTTACACGTGATTTTGGTTAAAACTATTTTCCTTACTGCCAAATTTAGATATGATGGTCGAGTATTAGGCTAAATTAGGAATGATGATCAAAAACTAGTCTAAATTTAGCAATGATCCTAGCGCTCAAATTTCTCATGAGCATAGTAAAGTACATGTTTTAAAAAAGAATAGAACTCTACAATAAATAATTTTTTGGAGAAAATCTCTTCATTACATTAAAAGTAGAAACCTATTTTACCAACTAATGAGGCTATTTTTTTAAAAGGTAGGACAGAAAATGACTTCTATACTTTTAAAATTTGCCCAAAATTTAGGAGGTCTTTAGACCGAGCCAACTATAAGGTTGTACGTTGTAGTTCTTTTTTAGATCGTGTCATTTTATTAGCAAATTACACAAAAAATTTTTACTCGATTTGGTTAAAAGATAAAACAGACTAAATCCAATAAAGAAAGGCTTTGTTTTGAATTTTATTTGATGCGGATCAGACCGTTTTTGATAAAGTTATTAAATTTTTTTTTACATCAAAAAATTTCCAATTTTTTTTTTGTAACACACTGTATACACAGTGAAACTCGATTTGGCGGATTTAAGGGTTTAACTATATATTAAAAATTTCGGAACAGAATTTTTTTATTAGTCGTGTGACATTTCCCTGAGGCTACTATTCTATATGTGAAAACAAGATTTTAGCAGAGGATGCGCAGTGAGCTTTTTTGAACTTTGTTAATAATATTTGTGTAATACAAAAAAAAAATCTGAGATTCTCATATTTAATATATATATTAACTAATTAATTGGCCAAGACCTCTTTGGTCTACATTTTTCAATCTTGCATACTCCTGAATTACAGATTGATCAGTTTTTATATTAGAAAAGTCAAAATCTAAGATTCTAAGTGAATCCCAAGAAGGCCCTCTGCTCATGGCTACATATACTTGACCAGGTGCGAACATATTTTCATCGATGCTGACAGTTGCATGAGGTAATGTTAATCCCTGGGATTTGTGCACAGTAAGAGCAAAGGCATTTTGCAGAGGAAATTGTTGTCTTGATGCAGGGCTTCTGCTGATATCAAAGTAATATTTAGTGTATAAGAATCAATTCGATTGTTGATTAAATTAAATGCTAATTGTCAAAATTAGATTTCTTTCTTTACGTTAAAGGTAATTTGTAGTGTTTTTTCTCATATTATTTTAATTTATATTAAAATGGTATAGAAAATTTAAATTTAAGTTTTTAAGGACCAATCAGATTTCTTTATTTATGAAAGAGTCAAAATCTGATTGATTGAAATGAATTATAGCGTTAACACTAACTAAATAAGAAGTAATAAACATAAATGTAACATCTATATTTTTTTTTAATATGTTTATTTAGAAAGAGTTAGTTCATTTAGTTGTATTATAGCAAAGTATGATTATTTTGAGTGTAATAAGTCATATCCAAGTTAGATAATGCTCACATGAAATTGTGTTTAATTTTTTTGGTGTAATAAAGTTAAAACTTTAATTTAGTAAGCAATTGATTGGTTCAGGTTGTTAATTCAAATTTTTTAGCGAAGCAATAAAAACACATTTTAATTCTCAAATGAATTGGACTTTTTTTATTAAAATTAAAATTCATGAATAATTTCCTTCCGTAAATAATTATTTGCGTAACAAATCTAATCATTAATTAAATAAACGTTAAATTCTATGTTGATGTTATGAAAAAATATGAGGATGGCATCCCATTTATATGTTTCGAATTTAATGAAATTGACTATTGTTTTGACCTAAGTGATATGATTTTTTTACTCTTTATGATAAAGAAGGTGCAATCCAAATCAAACTTAACTTTAATAGATTTTGATTCTTGCATAGCGCGGCATGTACAATAATAATAATAAAAAAGAAAAAAGCTCCACGTTGCGCTTTCAGTTGTAAACTTGTTAATTAAAAACATATTAGTTAATAGTGATCTTTATTAGTGATGTTAGCCGGCTTGAGCCAATCAAATTACATTCTCAAAAATAATAAAAAATATTCATTCATTTGTAATGCCGCCAAAAAAGGAAAAGAAAACTAATGCACAAAATAAGCAATTAATTAGTTCCAACACTCGTAGCAAAGC